TTTTTTACATAAATATTTTTCCCTTTTTATAATTTTTTTTTCCCCCCCCCCCCATTATAGTACATTGCTACAGTGAGGCCTTTTCAAAAAGTTCACCTTTGTACCTTATTTACTCCTAAAGGGTGCATATCAATACCTTAAAGGCGCATATTAGTACCTTACGGGACATTTACATGACTGTTTACAACTAAAAATTTTTTTTTTTAAATGCGTTTTAGCCGTTCATTTACATGACAATGGTGCTTTGAGGACCTGAAAATGCAAACTTTGGAAAACGGGTTTCAAAGTGCAAGTTTTTGAAAACTATATTGTTATTTTTTTTCCCCCCCCCCCCATTATAGTACATTGCTACAGTGAGGCCTTTTCAAAAAGTTCACCTTTGTACCTTATTTACTCCTAAAGGGTGCATATCAATACCTTAAAGGCGCATATTAGTACCTTACGGGACATTTACATGTCTGTTTACAACAAAAAATTTTTTTTTTTAAATGCGTTTTAGCCGTTCATTTACATGGCAATGGTGCTTTGAGGACCTGAAAATGCAAACTTTGGAAAACGGGTTTCAAAGTGCAAGTTTTTGAAAACTATATTGTTATCGTCTCTGTGTAAACTACAAAAACGCAAATTTGTGAAAACAATGACGTCATGTGCATATGTATTACGTCTTCAGTCTATAGGTAAGGCCCGTTCACACCAAGCACGATAACTTTAAAGATAACGATAAAGATATAGTTCTAAAAATCGTTCTCAATATTAAAGAATAACAGAGTCCACACCACAACTATAACGATAAAGGCACAGAGAAACGATATCGTTGGAATAATTTTCAGAACGATTTTCTCCAGCTGATGAACGATAGAAACATTGACAGCCAATCAGAATCAATCCTGCTATCACAAGCTCGAGAATTTAAAGCGGCAGACGCACGTGCGCTTAGAATAAACAGACGATATCGTCCGCTGGTGTGGACGCTAATATCGTTATCTTTATAGTTATCGTTCTTGGTGTGAACGGGGCTTTACTCGCTATGCGTTTCTTTGTATGTAATTGTGAAATTTACAAGCAAGTGAAAATGGTTTGCTACGCCAAACTTTTTTACAGTGTATACACTCACTACATACAGTTTAGCCCATCTATCTTAACTTTAATAGAAAAGTCAACTACAGTACTATTGTAGCACTAATAGCAAGTATGACACTAATGACTAGGGTTGCAAAGGGGTGGAACATTTCTGGTAAATTTCCAGAAACTTTCCGCAAAATTTCTGGAATGTTTCCTAAATTTACTGGAAATTTTCCACCTTTTTGCAACCCTAATGACACGTCTCACATGGCATTCAGTCTGTCCTGAGCTGTGATCACATCCCCTCCACGTCTTTCTCCATTCTCTGATAAGCCGACAGTAATTAACCTCCCGCAGAGCCGCCGTTTGTTTCACAAAGTGCACGGGGAGGTCCTGCTCATCTTCTTAATCATTAATGTTTCGTTTGGACATGTTTGGAGTCATCCATGGTTATCCGCCAGTGCCCTCGGATGACCCCTGCCGCCCAGCTGCCAGCTGAATCCCAACAGGAATGAGAAGCACGGGTGACTGCGCGGCCCTCTGTACATGGAGTTTAGGAGCGGAGCCAGCGGGGTGCTCATTTTACACATTGTGCAGTTTGTCCACGGCAATGCTGGCGTCAAAGTTGAGACATAGTGTGTCACGGTGACCACACAGGAAACTCCGGCTTGTTGGAGTGATACGCTCAGTGAGGGACGTCGAGGGGGGTCTGGATGGGAATGATTGACCAGGTGTTTTAGAGCTGATTTGTGCGGTTGCATACCACTCAAACCGATGGATCCGGTGAATCAGTTTCGCGCTCTTTCCCAGGTCTGATGAAGTTAGGGTGTTCCCTACTATATTCACTTCTGTTGTTTTGACTGTCAGTTACTCGTAGCAACCGATCGGAAAGTGTGGGGTAGAGACGGGCACTGTGCTCTGATACTGTGGCACCGTTACAAAGTGACACACGGGACACAGGACTGTTTGGCTGTGTGGTGATAAGCTGTGCCAAGGCAAATATCTGAAGAGAAATGACTCATGTCGTTAAAGAACAAATGATGTCCGACTTGTTAAACAGCTTGTGTGTATTGTTTGTATTTGCTGTGAGCGGCTGGACTAGATTCTTGTCATTCCTAATTACCATAAGCAAATGGGCTGTCAGGTTCATCATGAAAAACTGTCCTTTACAAAAAGGACTGTGGCGAGAACGCGGTACCTGATGTGTTTTCTGATACACTATTGTTCAAAAGTTTGGGGTCGGTAAGATCTTTTGAAAGAACGAATTATCTTGTACTCACCAAGGCTGCATTTATTTGATCAAATGCAGTAAAGCCAGCAATATTGTGAATTATTATTACAATTTAAAATAACTTTTATATTTGAATATATTTAAAAATGTAATTTACAGCAAATTTTTTGCATCATTATTCGAGTCTTCAGTATCACATGATCTTTCCGAAATCATTCTAATATGCTGATTTGATGCTTAAGAAACATTTATTATTATTACTACCATAATTGTTGAAAACACTTGCTTAATATTTTTACAGAAACTGTTATACATTTTTCAGGATTCTTTGATCAATAGAAAGTTCAAAACAACAGCATTTATGTGAAAAAGAATGTCACTTTTCTAACATTTTAAATGTCTTTACTATCACTTTTTCACTGTTGGGAAGGTTACTTTGGAAATGTAATCGGTTACAGATTAGAAGTTACCCTATCTAAAATGTAATAAGTAGTGTAACTATTTCAATTACTTTATTAAAGTAATGTAACTGATTACATTTGATTATTTTTTGATTACTTTTATACATTTCCAATGAATGTTTTCAACTGTTAATAATTTTAAAACATTTAAAGAAGGCCGGGTTAACCTTACCGTTAATCTTAAAAAAAAAGAAAGCATATACATGAACCCAAATAGGAAATAAAACAGTTATCGAATAAGCATGTGTCCGAAACTACTGAAACATTGGTGTCTCATATTTTAGAACAGTCGATGCAATTTGGGAAAGGAATCAATTACCGTATTGGCCCGAATATAAGACGACCGCATTTTTTCAGATGTATTTCCAAGAAAAAAACATCGTCTTATATTCGGGTCAATACGGTAAATCTGTATGGGTGTGAAAATATTCAGATGTAATCCCCTTTGTAATTGTTAACATTTTCATAAGTAATTTAGTCATTTAATTTCACATTTTCTCAGTAACTGTAACAGATTACAGTTACATTTATTTTGTAATTAAATTGTGTAATTCCGGTACATGTAACTAGTTATCACATTTTCTCAGTAACTGTAACAGATTACAGTTACATTTATTTTGTAATTAAATTGTGTAATTCCGTTACATGTAACTAGTTACTCCCCAACACAGGACTTAAACAATGTAATGTGACCTTTCTGAATACTACTAAGAAATATTTCAAGTATCTATTGCTTAGTATTTTTCGTACTAATATTATTATTAGTATTTCACATGGTACTCCCAAAAGGTATGAATAGTGTACCATTTGGTGTTCCACATGACTTTGATTACCATGGTACATGTCCACAACCTAGGTATTACCATGGCATATGCTCAAAATCATGGTATTACCATGGTTTATGTGTAAGAAAATCATATTTCCATGGTGTCATATCCAAAAACAAAATGGAAATTCCATCAAAATTTTAAAACAATGGTATTTTCTTGGTATTAAAAAACAGGGTATAATAAATGTCCAAACATGACCAAATAACCATGGTCCATGGTTTTAGAAATGGTTTTACACTGTATTACCATGGCACATCTTGAAAAACATGGTATTACCATGGTACATGTCCAAAAAACATGATATTTTCATGTTGCATATCCATAAATGAAAAGACATTTCCATGACATGCGAACCCATAGTTTTTACATGGTATTATGTCCCCAAAAACCAGGATATTACCATATACATGTCCAAATAACCATGGTATGTGTCCAAAAACACTGTATTAAAATGGTACTTTGTCTAAAACAGGTTAACAGCAGGTAATAGGTACTTTTTTGCTAGTGTTGTATATTCATTAACAAGGAAGAAATTTTTTTATGGATGTATCCACAGGTATCCACAACACTGTCTCTCTCTTTATGTGGACATTCAGTAACAGTCTTGATAGGCAGTGTAATAATCTATTTCATATGCTTGTCATCTTCGCCTCTCTTTCCGTACACTAGTCGTCCCTTCAGACTAATAAGGGAAACCCAAGACAAATTTATTCATCTAACAGAGCCTCACAGGGAGACAAACAGCACTAAGAGTAACAGAGGTTAGACATCAGGGGTCATGCAAACATATCAGAAAGTGGGCGGACAGCGATGCCACATCCTGTTTGATTCAGGAGTGATTCCCAGGCCTTGTCATGGTAACCTCTGCTGGGGTTAAAGGTCAGAAGTTCTCTATGCTCTCACAGAGTATATTACATACCTTTCAAAGAAAGAGACACAGAGGATGTGCTTAACTGATTCAGCTGTGCTCTTTTAGAGATTTAGCCTCCTCAAAGTCCAGGCAAAAGGGATTATGGGCTTTTTTTCTCTTAGGAGCGTGTTGATTTCCCAGTTACTGTTGCCCAGAGGGGGTATGAAATTAAACCCTCTAAATCTTCAAAGACTGAAGTTATTTCAAATCCTGTTTTCTTCCTCAGTGTATGGCCTTAATCCAAGACCTGCTGAAGGAAATCCAGAAAGTGGGCGGACAGCGATGCCACATCCTGTTTGATTCAGGAGTGATTCCCAGGCCTTGTCATGGTAACCTCTGCTGGGGTTAAAGGTCAGAAGTTCTCTATGCTCTCACAGAGTATATTACATACCTTTCAAAGAAAGAGACACAGAGGATGTGCTTAACTGATTCAGCTGTGCTGTTTTAGAGATTTAGCCCCCTCAAAGTCCAGGCAAAAGGGATTATGGGCTTTTTTTCTCTTAGGAGCGTGTTGATTTCCCAGTTACTGTTGCCCAGAGGGGGTATGAAATTAAACCCTCTAAATCTTCAAAGACTGAAGTTATTTCAAATCCTGTTTTCTTCCTCAGTGTATGGCCTTAATCCAAGACCTGCTGAAGGAAATACAGGAACTCAAAGAGTCCAGAGACGATCTGAGACTGGAAGTTGATGGTCTGAACGATCAGCTCAGCCAGGTGACCGCACATGCACACCAATATCATTAATCAAACAAGTTTGCTAATAAATATTTAGCACTTGTGTGACTTGATACCATGTTGTCATCTTCAGCTGAACATGAATGAGTTGGCAGACCGTATCTTGGCTATGGAGCAGTACTGCCACCAAGTGGAAGATTTGGACAACACTACGGTGAGTATTGCTATTAAAGTACAACCAAAAATTTAACTTTTTCTCACCCTCATATTGTTCCAAACCAATAGAAGTCTTTTTTTCATGGAACAGAAAAGTAGGTATTTAGCAGAATGTCTGAGCTGATGTTTTCCATACAATGTAAGCATATAGTAACTGTCAAGTACCAAAAACGTTGCAAAAAACATGGTCCATATGACTCAATTGCTATATTCCATGTTCTCTGAAGTCATGAGCTTTGTGTGGGGAGCAGACTGAAATGTACATCATTATTCATTTAAAATCTTAGCTTGTGAAGACATGTTAAAGCACAGATACATTAGCAACATTTCATCAAAATTTCACTAGCAAGAAGGTCCATTGTCTAAAGTTTAGCGATGTATGAAGCATCTCTTACTATTGCAGCTTTTCATTGGTCAGCATGAATTCAAACTAAATTTGCACTTCAATCGAACTCCAGATTGCACAGATTCATATTTCAATCATGACAACTCTCGGAAGATTTTAGCATGACGTCAGCCTGCGCCATCTAGAGTTTCATGACTGAACTATATATTAAAATGACTGGATTTTGGCAGTGAAATTTTTCCAAGAAACGTGATAACATTTTTTCAGGATTTTTTGATGAATAAAAATAGATGAATAGTTCATAATAACAGCATTTATTTGAAATAGAAATCTTTGTAACATTATAAATGTCTTTCCTGACACTTTTTATGAATTTAATGCATCCTTGCTAAATGTAAGTAGTAATTTCTTTAATAAAAAATGTCACCAACCCAAACCTTTCAATGGTAGAATTAAAACATTCCATATATTTATTTAAACATGTCTATATATGTTTAAATAATGTTTTGATATATGGATTTTGCCCTTTCTAGTCAACTGAAATGTTATTTTTGTCAAAAAAAAAAAATCCTAAAAATAAACCCTGCCCCAGTCACTATTCCGTATTGCAAAATGTTGCAGCTTCAACATTCTGCTGATTTTCTCTTTTCATGTTCCACAGAAGAAATAAAGTCAAACTGATCTGAATGACATGTTGATGAGTAAAACAAGACATAATGTTTCATTTTAGGTGAACTATCCCTTTAAATTGTTTTGTGCTCAAACAATAACATGGACTTTCAGTGGATGGAGAGACTTTGCTGCCTTTACCTGACATCAGAAAATAGTTGTGTGGTGTTTATTTAGAAAACACACAAACACATTATATTTTTCCTCTTTCTCAGAAAGAGCTGAAGGACAAGATGGCCCAGTACCCTGCTCCAGAGGAGCTCACGCAGTGTGTCACATGGGAAGTGATGCAGGCTGCGCTCATCAGCGAGAGGCAGAAGATTCAGGAGGTACGTCCATCTGTAATCACTCCATACACAGCATGAAGTCAATTTAGTGTGTCCTGCAGCTTTCAGAAGCCAATAACCTTTCACAGCCACACTAAATCTCACAGGTTCTTACCACAGTCATTGTTTGGTTAGAGCAGGCGGCAGCTGCAGTTGAGGCAAACATTGACCGGAATGAATGATTTGCTAAATGTAAATGCATAACCAACATCTACAAACACAAACCGAGGCTAAAAACAAAGACATCCGTCTCAGTGTTTCATGCAAAGCGCAATATACACTGAAGGACAAGCTGATTCTCATTCATGAGATGCTCTTTGTAAATGACATTCCCTCTTACATTCCCAGGGGTTGCAGGACACTCTCTCCGCCGCTAAAAACATTGCACCCGTTCACCCTTTGAACCTGGGTATCCCGTTCAAAGACGACAGAGCGGGTACAGGTGGCACAGCTGGTGTAGATCTCTCTCGGCGGGTTTCTCCTCCCCAGCAGTCCCTGTCTGACGGGGCTCTGTGCACTGTGACGGGCCGCCGACTGTCCCGGGTCAGCATTGGGGCTGAGTGCTACCCGGAGACCGTAGAGGCTCTGATGGAGGTGGGCGGACTGAGAGACAGGCACGAGAGTCTGGAGGCCCGCGTGGGGCAGCTGGAGGCGAACAAGGCTGATCAGACCCAGCTTCAACATCTGCGTGATCTTCTCAATGCCATGGGTATGACACAGACAGCAACATGCTTTATATGCATTATGTCTCTTGTTATTCAATAATAATTCTAACCACAGTTATGATACATTATGCATATTCATGTTTACAAAGCGGCATGGCCTCAAGTCACCATCATGTCATTCTAAACCTATGTGACTGACTTCATCTATGGAACACAAGATATTTTGAAGAATGTATAAATCATTTCTTTCCATACAATGAAAGACAATGGGGTCCAAAACAAGAATGAAAAACTTTAATTGTATAAACAAAAAAAAACACTGAGACATTTCTCAAAATATATTCTATTGTGCTCTACAGAAGAAAGAAAGTCATACAGGTTTGAAACAACCTGATGGTGGGTAAAAAATTAAAGATTTTTTTTACATTTATTAATGAAATAAGAGCCCACTTAAGTGTACTTACAGATAATACACTTTCATGACTGTTTTAACACACTTTGTAATAATGTCAGATTAAACGTTTGTACTTTAAATTACATTTTAAATCATTGTTTCAATAATCTTTTGCCATGCTTTTAATAACGACACTTATTTTGATGTGTTGACTAACATACTAAAAAACATCTAAAGTACTTGATTATAATTTAACTGTAGTGAGTTATTCAATATTACATTTACAAGTAAATTTTTTTTAATTTAGTGTAGTTTTAAATGTACTAAATTGCAGCTTCTTTTTGTAATTACAAATATATTTAAAAAAAAACATGAAATACAAGTTTTAATAGAAATGACATTAAAGTATATTTTAGTTTACCATAAATGCGTGTCAGTACATTCATCAGTACACTTTAACCATATTTCAACAGACAAGAAAAGTAATTATGAAATTACCTTTAAAAAGCACTCTATAGTTCAGTTAATTACATTTAATATAAATTTAAACAATATTACATTTTCATTTAATTGCAATTTCATTCAGTTCACACATAAGTACATTCTTTTAAACCATATTATTTCCATAATAAGTACTCTTTTTTTAGCAGTATGTTAAAGTGTACTAATTTTCACAAGGGATCTCTTTAATGTTAACATTGGAATAAACAATTTCCCATATTATGTCCATAGTTACCAAGAAACATATTTACTTAATATTTTTGTTTGCATTTTGCATCTGCACCTCATCCAATCAAATATCCCTCTCATAAAATGTGTTAAGAATACTTTTTATATATACTTTTACAGTAAAGTTACTATTAACCCTTGTACGTCAATTAAAAAGGTCCTTGGAGGACAAAACATGTCCATGTTATAAAAATTTGAAGCTTGGGAGTACAGACTTAAGTTTGGTCTCATTTTTAAAAAGACCCTTGGCAGATTATTGTTGAAGTTAAAAAAGTTGTAAAAAAAAATTGAAACCAAAAAAGTTAGAGGTTTAAGTTTCTGAAAATGATTTATGATACATTTTTATATAAAATATATATTTTATAAAATATGTTAGTTGCTAGAAAATCAAAGCCATAAATCTAAACAAGTTGTGTTCCAAATTTGAGGTTGATATCTCAAAAAATGAGCTTTTAGTAAGATTTTGTTTGGGTGCAGTACCAAACTTTTCCCATTAGATTCCAGCAGAGCTCCGCTGGCATACACAGCGGTGGGATTTGTGATTCGCAGTACAGTATAATTTCTCTCTCTCAAACATTACAGGTGCACACAAACAAACACACACATTTTTTTTAGGACACACATACAAACCACACTCTGACATCCATACTAACACACCCACACAATTATAGCTGCATAATTTATCCAAATGACTCTATAATACAGCAAAAGCAGAAAACAGGAAAAATGTGAGTATTTGCTTTATAGGCCAAACCTGAGAAAATGGCACCATATGGTAAACAAATTGTAAAAAAAAAAAAATTTTGAAGCCTTGCCAACAGAATGAAAGCCTATTAACAAAGACTGCATCATTTTATAGTTAAATGGCCCTGGGATTAAAAATTGCCGTTTTAATGGGGACATTTTTGTCCTTAAGGTCCTGAGAGGAACTATTTTTTGTACCTAGTGTAAAATAAATTTATTAAAGGAAATGCAGGTAAAATATAAAAATTCTAATAAAAGTACACACTTGTGCCCAAATGTATGCAGTTGGCATTAACACAAAACAAAACTGAAAAAGACAAAAATGTCCATAAGGATGCATAAGGGTTAAGCTTGTGTATGTTTAAGTGTGTTTTTGACATTTTGCTTGATATGTTTTGTGATTTCTGTAGAAGAGAGGCAGATTCCTGACCATGTGCCAGAGCAGCTGAATCATCTGAGGGCTCTTGTGGACAGTCTGCTAGCAGATAAAGAGAAGGTATGACAGAAACACTCATACTGACTATGATTTTAAAATCAAAGTAATAACTACTACACCCTAAACTGTCCTTCAAACCGGTCTTTTCATTTTGTTACTGTATCAGATTTTACAATCCCTTAAGAAGCTGATTTGATCTTTACAATATCTGTAATTATGTAAACAGAGCCTCACCTAGACTTATATTGTTCTTTGTCATTTGTGTCAGTCAAACAGACTCATTCCGGTGACTAAGCAACCAGTGCCGGGCTATATCTATCTATCTATCTATCTATCTATCTATCTATCTAAAATGAGGTTTTTGATCAGATTTAGTTTACTCCCGGGGAAGTTTTATGTAGGTCCAACACACAGACACAAACATATACAGGAGCATAAGCAGCATGTTACAGTCTAGATGACTCCTGTAGGTGTCAGACGTGGAGAGTGTGTTGATGGACATGAGGACGGTACAGGTGTGTGAGAGTTCAGACTCTGCAGGACAGAGCACAGGTTCAGCAAGCGGTCAGGACACACGCTCCTCACAGATAGAGCAGCTGAACCTGCAGACGACTCACATCAGGTACTATTCATCTCAAGTCTACCAGTCAATCATTAGAGACATGTTACAAACCGTATCCCACAACTTTGAAACAGCAACATTTGCATTCAGTGGTCAAAATTGGTCACTGTGTTCGGAAATGTTGCATTAGTTGCAGTAATGAGAATGCAGCATCAGAAGAGAGATGTACAAACACATCTATAACATTTTAAACTGACACTATGTCAAGATCAAATTGTTCCTCAGTTTTCTGGAGGAAGTCATCCCACTAATTCTTTTATTAGCAGTTAATAAATTAGAAAAGAAAGCACAATAGAAGTGTTTTTTACTGTATGTCTCACACACATACACACACTCATGCAGGATTGCAGTACTGAAGCTGGATGAGAAAGTGCAGGAGCTGATAAGAGAGAAGATGCGTGACAGAGCAGAAGGGAGATACAGTGAAGACATACACATACAAGAGCAGGTCAGAATAGTAAACACACCGAAAATCAAATATATACAGTATATATATATATATATTATATATCAGTGTTCTGCATTGCAGCATTATTATAATTTTAATTGTGCTTTTATTTGGGCATGACTAGTTTGCTTGACTTTTTCGATTAGTTGCTTGTTCTTTCCGTGTATATTTTCATATATTAAAATATTTTACAAAAAATACTGTAGACTATCATTCAAATGTTTTGGATCAGTATCTAATTTATTTTTTAAAAAGAAATCAATACTCTCATTTGTCAAGGATGCATTAAATGAATCAAAAGTGACAGTAAAGACATGATAATGTTACAAAAGATGTATATTTCAAAAATAGGGCCTTTTGGAACTTTCTATTCATCAAATAATCAAAAGTTTTCAACATTGATAATATTAAGAAATGTTTCTTAAGCAGCAAATCAGTACATTAGAATGATTTCTGAAGAATCATGTGGCACTGAAAACTGAAGTAATGATGCTGGAAATACAGCTTTAATATCACAGAAATAAAATATATTCAAATAGAAAACAGTTATTTTAAATTGTAATAATATTTCACAATATTCATATTTTTACCATATTTTGATCAAATAAATGCAACCTTGGTAATAATAATAATAAAAAAAAACATACAGGCCACAAATATTAATCACATATTAATTACAAAAGATTACATGATTTCTTAAAAATTACAAAATCATTACAAATGATTTCTTCCCTGCATAATTTTTTTTGCATTAAACTAATATCTTGCAATTATCTATACAGTATATCACCCACCCTTATCGGCCTGATATCCGACCACTGTATTATTATTTTTCATGAACATTCTTTTCATTTTTTTACGGTTCACCTGTAGTTAAACAGCCTCAAGGCTATGATGGAGGATATGAGGTCCTCCTCATCCTCTCTACTCTCACAAAGTGGACAGCAGGAGGCAGTAAGCTTCAGCAAAGCAGACGATCAGGCTCAGAGTGCAGGTCAGGATCAGGGTCAACAGCAGACAGGAGGTCAGGGTCAGGAACAGGAGGTCAGTCAGTTGTCCCAGTCATGCAGCAAACCTGAGGACAAGACCACTCACCTCATGAACCAGGGACATGAGGACAGGAACCAGGTACATGACACAGAGACAGACATGAAATGTCTCTTCTTCATATTTATTCTTCTTAAGTCATTTTAGGAAACATCTGGAAGGAAACACTTAAACGAGATGTTGAAGTCTCCTGATTTCCAAAAGATGACTGAAATGTTCTCGTATGAGTGTGTGATGTTGTTTTGCTGTAGAACACTAATCTGGTGAGCGACTTAGAGGGAGCCATACTGCAGCTGCAGTCCGAGTGTGAGAAACTCCACAGAACATCCAACCGCCTGATGGAGGAACACAGCAAGAAACAGACACACATCGACGTGAGTAAACAGAGAGCCTCATAAGACATCATTTACTTCCATCACTTACTTAGCTTGTGGTTTTTCCAGCGTCTGTTCAAGATAGTGGAGGAACTGGATGAAAAGAAAGCTGACAAGCAAGTGGTGGAAATGGAGATTGAAATCGTGAGTTGTTTCTTTATACAGTTCATAAACAATCCAAGTTCATCAACTCTTTGTGGTCCCCACTGGACCATCACAGTCACTCTCAGTCAGTGGATGTCATCTCGTTGCTCCTCAGAAAGCAGACAAGCGGGCTCTGGAGAGCAAGGTGAGCCGCATGCAGTTCGACAGCATGGCAGAGCAGCTCAATAACATGATACAGGATCTGCTGAGGAAGATCAGCGGTCAGGAGCAGGACTGGAACAAGGTGATCGAGAAGATCTCCACTGAGATGGACTGCAAGGTGAGAGACGGACAGACCGAAGCAGTCCTTCTTTGAAGTCATTGAAATTCTCCATGGTGTAAAAATATTTTCAAACCTTTATGAACTTGTATAACTTACATTTCTCACTGTTCTATCTTTTCCAGAAATATAGTGACTTTTTTTGTTTACGTTTGGAGCTAAGCATTATGAATAAAATTATCTTTAAAAAGGCATCATTTCTTTTTTAAATTTCTTTTTCATTTGGGGTGAAATGTGACCTGGACATGTTTTTGTGAGATTTACCCAAATACACATTCATTTTAAATTAAATTAAATTAAATTAAATTACACATAATAAATACACACAGTACACATACATATATTATGTAAACAAAAACGTTTATTTTGGATGCGATTAATCGCGATTAATCATTTGACAGCACTAATATTATATAATACTGACAATCAGCACTAAAACCTTTAATATATTTAATTTTCTTTATTTTAATTTTATTTTTGTCTATTATTAAATATTGTCTAAATATTGTATAGAAGTTTTGTCTTTTGATATGTTGACTAGATGAGCACACCTGCATATTCCACTGGTGCAATGTCAAATTTGCTAAATTTATGTAAAATTCGTGAAATTTCACCAGCCGAAAAGGTCCATTCTCCACTGATGCACAAAACACAAAACTCACTTTTACGCCAAGCTTCATTCTGTTGGTCAATGCAGCTAATTTGCGTGAAAAAAAAAATGATACAAAATTTCCATTTGTGTGAATTCCTTTTGAAATGACTGGATTTTGCCTGCAACACTAAATGTTTCCGCACCTTCAGACCGGTCAACACACTCATGGCAGTTCATAAGTATTGTGCGTTTTGGCGAATTTGTGGTGAATCTCATTGCATCTCATTGCTGCAATGTGGATCAGACTTTATGCTGATAGTCACTGAGCTTGACCTTAAACCTAAAGTCAAACATATACTAAACCCTAATGCCTGAAGTTCTCTACACAAGTATGTCAAAACATATGTTGTTGCATTCAGAGCTGAATTCATGACACAAAGCATGCTGGGAATGCGTTTGCCAAGCATTTGCATCATTGTGTATGTTTCTGTAATGTTGCATTATCACTATCTGAATAACCTCTGTTTGACAAATATGATGGTGGTTGTATGGAAACAAGCCTCACTGTGTTTGTGTGTTTCTTACTCTGTGTCAAAGACAATTAGTGGCCCGGTTTCACTGCATCTCCTGTGATCGTCCCGTGGATATGATGACACCAGGACAGTACGTAAATATTATAAAGGACAACTGATATGACACTTTTTGGTAACACTTTACAGTAAGGTTTCATTTGTTGACACTATTAGTAAACATGACAACTAATAAAAATAATTCTAAAGCATGCATTAATCTTAGTTCATGTTAATTTCAACATTTACTAATACATTATTCAAATCAAATTGAATTTAATGAACCTGAGCTAACATGAACTAACAATGAACAGTTGTAACATCAGCTAATGTTAACTTTATTGTACATTTTTTGTCAAAATACATTAAAGGTATTTAAAAATACATTAAATTGTTCATACAGACAATGACATGAATACACACATCTTCCATAATGTATATTTCAATTTATTAATTAAAAATTAATTGTAATATTTTCTGTGGGGCTTCAGTTGAGAAACTATTACAGTTTTTATCAATATTTTGAATTTGTTTTTATTTTTATATTTTCTGTTTTCATTGCAATTTTATATAAAGTTTTAGTAGTTTTATTGTCATTTTGTATGAATTTTTATTTCACTTTTAGTTCTTTTTTTTGTTATCTTTTTCAGTCATCAATTAAAACTAAATAAAAATGAAAAACGTTGCCTTGGCAACTAGCTAAAACAAACAAGTTTAAGTTACCTTATTTGAGTTAACATTTAGTTTAATTTGTTTTATAAATATCAAATGTTTTTGTCATGGATGGTTTTAATAAGTTTAATAACCCTGGGTTCATTTGAAAGATGTCTAAATGAAAGATGTTTTTTATAAGCAGTAAAGCTAAGTTTGGTTGAGATATTAGTCAGTGTGGTATGACCATGTGACAGCTTAAAATATTATCTGATCTAATGAAAAAAGCATACAAGACAAATAAATATTTTGTCAATAAAATACAATTATTAACATTTTCAAATAAAACAATGGCGTTTTTTAAGAATGATTTTGGAGTTTAACAATGAACACATTGCAACCATGCTTGGGACGGCCCACATAAACGAGCCAAACTGCTTTACATTTCTTGAAATAATAACTTATGTACATTAAACATTGACTGTCAGTCTTTATTCACTTTCTCGTGGTTTCTCATTAAAGTAAAATTTGCATGGCTAATGTCATAGAATAGCATAATTTAATAATAGCGGGGCACATTGTAACGCAGTGTTACAACGTTTTCCCATATGCGCAGCTGGTTTGTGTCTTCTGCTAGTTAGCGTAGCATTGAAGAACTATCTAAACTGATAAATAACAGATTGGAGTTTAAGCTAATATCAGATTTGTCTCATTTTAAATGAATGCTAAAAACAAAGAGAAAGGAAAGCTTGAAATCGCATCATATGACCCCTTTAAGCCAGAAATGTACTTTTACTATGGTCAAATAAATGTTCAGCGATATCGTCAAAAGATTTTTGAATTTTGGCACACTTTGATATGGCAACTAGTAAATACCATACATTGTGTTTTGCTAGCATGTGTGGAAATATTCAAACCACGTGTGTTACTTTGTGCCCCGCGCTCCCCTGTCACTTGTCAAGTGTTCTCATTAGACATCCTTACACTGTTGTTGTAAACACTATAGTCGTCTCCCACGATCTCGGTTTTTTTCACAGGAACTTGGTGACTCTGCCCTCTGCCCCAGGACTGCCCTCTCACAAGTCCAGCCGGCCCTACACTGTGTATGAGCTGGAGCAGGTGCGACAGCACTGCAGGAGGTGAGACACGTCCCACTGCAGCATTTACTGTGCTTGTCCAGCGGGGGGAATCAAAACCCAAACTTGCTCCACTGTGTTCTGCAGATACCGCACAGTATACCTGACACGAACCTCGCTGTTCTGTACGTACAAAAACTTTGTGTACTTTAGGACAGTGTTTGAGGAACTAACAGAAAGTATTTGGACACACCTAAAAATGTATCAACTCTTTGTGTAATATAACGAAATATCAAAACAGGTGGCATTTCTTTTAAAGAATAAAATCACACAAGCACACTTTTTTCTAGCAAAAACATTCACAAAAAGTATTCAAGTATTAGAAGTATTCAAGCGTACTCTTAGTAAGCCTATACTTCTTTTCAACTCAAAATAAGAGCGTAAACTTTCAGTCTACTTTTTATGTAGTTATCAGAGATGTACTGCAAATTACACTTAAGTATAGTTGGCTTATACTGACAAGTACACAGAAAAGTCTATATTTATATTTGGACTATTCATGTTTTTAATCCTTTCATCAAGATATACTTAAGAGAAAAGCATATTGAAGTATTCTTTACAGGTTCAAGGTTATAGTATTGTAGTTTATAGTAACAAGTCAGTTTTAGGGTGGAATAGCTTAGAGTAAATATTAAGTCATTACCAGAATAAAGAATTACAACCAAAAGGAATATTTATTACCTATTTATATATTTCCATAAAATATTTTATTATTTTACTCGACCCAAAATATCAAGTCAAATTGCAGAAAGAGCAAGTGTCTTTATTTAATACATAAATCTTTGGCATAAATCCACTGATTTGTAGATCACATTTAAAAGTATATAAAAAAAATTATTTCAAGTCTAAAAATTAACACCTAAATTGAAACCTAGTAGTGTACTTAAATTGCAAAACTAATACAATTGTTAAACTAAAAGTATGATGATAAAAAATCAAGTATACTTGCAGTATAGTATAAACCGGTAGTTCACTGAGAGTATACTTCAAAGTGTACTTAAAAAGTGGGTTTGAAGTAGCTAATTCACTAGTAGTATAGTTGTAATACAAAATAAATACTTTTAACTATATACAAACTAGATGTGTACTTAAAGTTTACTACTTATACATATAAAAATTTGTTTTATAAACTAAAAAGTGGGTCAATTTTGTCCCATGAAGAATTGAAATAGTACACTTACAAGTATACTACTAGCAGTATACTTACTACATAGAGTACTTGGAATATATCAGATGAAGTTGAAGTATGCTTCTTTTCTAGTTATTTAATGAAATGATATGAAGGTGTCCCATTTTTTATCCCAGTGTAAAATAAAATTAAAATTAAGCAGTGAAATACTGTCCCCATCAGTGTTGCCAGACGTACGATAATTATCGTATTTGTACCATAATTTTGACCTCTGTACGATGTGCGATCAATGCTACCATAATGTACGATCATTTCAGAATTTTGTGACATCAAATGATAATCATAGGGCTTCTATACTCATTGATCTAGCTGTGTGGATCCTACGTCTACCTTCATGATTGTGAGGAGACTTGAACGTGGTGTTACGCATGTCTTTCATCTCATCGCACGTCTTCTCGACCAATCATCGTGGAGATTGACTCTCTCTCGCACGTTCCTGCCGCACTAGGTCAGTTGTTTCAAAGCTGCGGTCGATAGTTTTGCAATAAAGTATAGAAAATGAGTGCTGAAAAGGATAAATAGCTGTAACATCTAGATAAATAACTGTATTCTGAACGTTTGACTCGTGCACGCTAATTTTCTTCCAAATACGATAATTTTGAGCTTCTGGTGCATTACTTGGACATTTCCAATCTGGCAACACTGGTCCCCATGACCAGTGGCGATTAGTGATGAGATCTTAATAAGTTGAGCGTTTATTTGTCTCAGCCTGGAGCCAGGTACTAACCAGAATAACTTTAAGACGGCTTGTTTTGACAGAGGCTCGGCGCAGGATGAGCATAGCCATGTTTTAATATGCAGGCAGATAGATCAAGAGTTTAGTCAGTGTCCCAAATCAAGGACCCCAAAGCTCCCATACAGCCAGGGTCTGCCAGACATTTCTCGGACCCGCTACCGGCCCAACCTGGGTCCAGCAAAGAGGAGCAGCAGTCGGACCATGAGCAAGCAGCGAGTTAGACTCATGACACACAGAGCAAAGCTTTCTTAGGTAAACGTCAGTTTTACAGACCAGCCACAGATATCTAGAGACTCCAGAAAATGTATATTTTAAAACTCTCTGTTCATGTACTCTTAAGAATAAAGGATCTTCATCGGCTTTGATGGTTCCATGAAGAACCTTCAACATCCGCGGAAACGTTCCATTGCACTAAAGGTTCTTTATAGTGAATAAACGTTCTTCACACTAAGAAAAAATGGTTCTTTTAAGAACTGATCACTGAAAGGTTCTCTGGGGAAACAGAAAACCCCTTTTCGGAATCTTTTTAAAGGGATAGTTCACCCAAAATGAAAATTCTGTCATTAATTACTCACCCTCATGTCATTCCAAACCCGTAAGACCTCCGTTCATCTTCAGAACACAAATTAAGATATTTTTGATGAAATTCGAGAGCTTGCTTTCAGCAACGCAACTGACACGTTCAATGGCTACAAAGGTAGTAAGAAAAACAGGTGCATCCCAAACCGCATACTTATGCACTATTCTATGACGTTTTGTAGTATAAATAGTGCAAGTACTGTGTTCACACTGAAAATTCCAAGAAGAAAAAGTGCACTTAAATAACAAAAAAAAAATTTAAAAATGAAGTGTGGAATGTTGGACACTTCATGCACTCAACTGTCGCAGCTTTAATTATGTGGCGAAGGGGGAGGGGCTATCAGACTCTGATTATGAATCACAAAATAACCTTATATAATTCATACACTATATGGATGAGTACATAGTGCCTAAGTACATAGTGTATAAGTGCATAGTGTGTAATGCGTCATTTGGGATGCAGCTGTTAAAATAGTCCATGTGACATCAGTGTTTCAAATGTAATGTTATGAAGCTACGAGAATACTTTTTGTGCATTTATTCAACAATTCCTTGTCTTCAGTGTCAGTCTTTGAACCACTGATGTCACATGGACTATTTTAAAGATGTCCTTACTACCTTTCTGGGTCTTGATCGTGGTAGTTCCCTTGCGATCTATGGAGGGTCAGAAAGCTCTCGGATTTCATCAAAAATATCTTAATTTGTGTTCCGAAGATGAACTGAGCTCTTACGGGTTTGGAACGACATGAGGGTGAGTAATTAATGATTTATTTATTATTATAATTAATTTTCATTTTTGGGTGAACTATCCCTTTAAGAGTGCTGAGTGATGTTTTATTGTCTGTTGTGCAGTGAGAGGATCCCAGAAATGGCCGATTACTGTTACCTGTCCCGTAACTGTGGGGGCAGCCACACCCTCACCTACCCCAGCCGCCGCTACACCCGCCTTCAGCACATCACCCATCTGATCCAGAGCGAAGAGGAGAGTCGGCCCGTGTCCACTGGACCACCCACACAGGTCTGCTACAGAATCCGTTGAAAATGTCATAAACAGTGAGTATGTATGAACCGTGAGCTGTGTTTCTTCAGGCAGCAGAGGTGGACATCTTAGGTTTGGATGGACAGGTCTACAAGGGCCGAATGAGCAGCAGAGCAGTGAGACTCTCCGAGACCAGATTTCCCACCATCTCTCCTCGAGAAGGTAATATCACACGTCACACTCCACACACAGTAATAGCCAGAGGGAATATTTGCACAGTAATGACCCATCAAGTTTGATTAAACCATCAAAATATGAGGAGTATGTTAATATGGATAATGAAATATGGGTTTTTGTTTAGCTAAGCAAATGCTTATAAAAACAAGTAACTCACAGGAAATAAAGCATACTTTGACTACAATATAGTCAGTTATTAATATTTCACTGGTTCACCGTTGTTTTCGGGCATTACTCAATAAGCTTTCTGCATGTATCATGCCCAATTTCTTGCAAAGCCTCCTTAAATTCCTCCCAAAGTTGAGATTCATTCATCAGCTATGAATTTCCCAAAGGTTTTCATTGGGATTAAGTAACACTCTCGCTGCTCGCCTGCATTGCGTATGTGGTGTGTTTGGGATTATTGTGTTAGAAATGAATAACACATTCACTATGGCTAACACCTGCCATAGTGATTGATTCAATTATAGGCTGGGAATAATGAGAGCAAGCTTTGTATGTTAGCTTTGGCCAAAAATGATGTCTGCACGATTCGGCATGTTTCATAATCACAACTGAAAACACAAAATAGGAAAAATGTCTGTTTTCCTAGACATCAATTTTGGCCATTGACACAGTATCCATTCCTATCACTTCTAAACATTTATAAAGCCTCCATTTACTGTAATGAAAGCTTTAAAAGTTCATTTAAATATGAGAGTTTTGTCCTTATTTACTCACCCTCATAATGTTTCAAACCTGCATACTGCTATTGTTTTATTGACCACGCCTGTCAATTTCCAAAAATGACAACCAAACTATAAAAACACCATTTAATAATTATAAATGTAGTCCATACGATTTCTGTGCAATATTTTAAGCATTTTGAAATCATATGAACAGGCATTCTTCACTGTAGCTCTCAAATCTCAATTTTTGTATATGCTAATTATCAAAGTCCCTTTAAGGCAAGCCATGTCACTCGGCGGCCATCTTTGAAACGCCTCTCGGGCATGCAAGTGCAGCTCCTATCACTTTGAATGGGGAAACATCAAATTCTCCAAAACTGTTCACTAAGTTTAAGATTAAATTTTATATTTGAAATCACTAATGAAATCTGACAACAACTGTGTCATAAATGTTGTTTCTTTTGCTCAAATAGCGTTATAAAAAGCATATTTTTCAGGCTAGAGCGCACGTCTCAGAGCGCTGACTGTTTCTATAGCAACCGGGACTTCTAACGGCAGCTACAGTGACGCGCTGACTTTACCGATTAGCGATTGGCTCTTTCATTCAGAAGGCGGGGCTTCCTGCGATTGAGCGGCCATATTAAGCGTTGCATTTTTCCTCATTCAAAACTATATGAGTGACACGTCTTGGGTATTCTATAGTCTTTGTAATGCTTCAGAAGACTTGGAATAAAGCACATGAGTTACATAGACATCTTTCATGGTGCTTTATGGTGTAGCTCCACCTCAGTGTCATTTACCTTCATTGATTTTTCATTAGCGTTATTGTTTTTGGAGTTTCAGCACCTAGAAATAGAAATATCATGAATTTGAGAGAACTGGTTATGGACGTCTTAGGCGTATTTCATATTGTATTTCAATGCTTTTTCATTGCAACTTTTGTGTTCTCTTGCAAAAGTATTGCATTCCCTCAAGAACCTTTACGTTCTCTTTCAAAAATATTGTGTTCCCTCAAAAAACTTTGTTTGCTTGCCAGTCTTTTGCATTCTCTCACAAAAGTACTGCGTTCCCCTAAGAAACTTTGTGTTTGCTCGCTCCAGATCTGGATCAGCGTTGACATGAGAACAGTTGAGCACATGAATGACTGATTCTTGAGCTGTAAGCTGTTCATTGATGGTAGGAACTTCTGTTGTGTTCAGGACAATGTCCAGACTGAAGTCTATACAGGGGCCTCACGGCCCTGATCATGCTTCCCCTCACGACTCGTTACGCAACGCATGTTATCATGATAGCATCATAATATCCATCTGCACGCTTGACCCACTTTTTGCTCATCTCACTGTGGACAACTGGGTCTGGACTGTGGGGGAGAAGAAGAGCTCCCTGGTAGCAGACAGAGAAGATTACTGAAAATTTGATTTAGTGTTATGTAGAGTGGTTGGTTGTGTTGTAGTTTTATTCAGGACTGAGGAAAATAGGACTGAAGGAAGAACAGTAGGGCTTGAGATTGGACTTGGTAGGGTGCCTAGTTTAATGTTGCTTGCTGGAAAGAACCGAACATTTCTGCGTTACATAATAGCAGAGCAGCAATGAGAAACCATCTGGAAGTGACAACAGACCTGGAGGAAAATTGGTCTCAGACCTTGCCCTTCGTTGTATCACCGAATCAAAGGAAGACGGTTGAAAGTCAAACAAAAGACGCTTGCTTGGCAGATGAGCCGTGTCATGCTTGACCGAGCAAACGTTTGGCATCTTATCCATGTCATGAGGTAAAGCGATGATTTATGAGAAAACGAGTCTAGTGTTGAAGGTCAGAAGTTGTTGTTTCCACACAAAGCACAACAGTCACATTCTTGAAGAAAATATCTCCACAGAGAAAGAATGATGTAAAAACCGTTCCAGACAGACCTACCATGAAACCATTATACCATATATCATTTTAGGGAAATTAGACCACATGACATTTTATAACCTAAGCCATGTCATAAAATGGTCAAATTGTCTGAGAATTTAAGAGATTATTGACCTTGACACAGTCGTGAGGGCTCTCTATGATATTGTTTGCATGTTTAACGTTGATTTGAGCTTGATTTGGCCTTGAAGGACTTGCTACTGCCAATAGATATATAGACATGCTGCTGTAAGCATGTAAGATATGCTGCTGCATGAATAGCCATTCATAAATCCCGTAGCAGATCTAGACAGGTGGTGCTGGGGGAGGTGGAGAGTCTCAGAGGAACACGAGGAACTCTAAACCAGACTTTTTAAATGTTGAACAAGCAATCTCATTGGCTGCAGAATCAGCAGTCAAGCTTGTGCCATGCAATGAATGATGTGATTGCTAGCAGGTTGCATGTTAAGGACCTTCAGTCTGCGCCATCTAGAGTTTCATGATTGAACTATATGTTTTTCCCTAAGAAATAGTAATAAAGGTTTGTCAGACAAAAGTTTATGTCTGCTGCTGCATGAATAGGTATATATATATATATATATATATATACAGTATATATATTAAGCCTACTATATAAGAATTGTATTTTTATTTAATACTCACTTTTTATTTTAAAATATGATAGTATTATCACACTTTACTATTTCGTTTATCATCTAAGTGCAATAATACTACTATTACTATTTTTAATTATTTTTAGTGCTGTTAAAATTAGCACGTAAATGCAGGCGATACATTTTTCCAGTTTTCCAGATGTTGTCAGGCCATATGCCAGTAAAAACAAATTTTCCTGTACTGTCAGCCATTATACTGTGCTCGTAGCGTGTGCTCTTCAATTGCACATACAAATACAGAGGCGTGCGCTGTAGCCTGTATCATTTCATATTTAAGCGCGAATGAAACTACGAGCATGCGTGTCAGATCCGCGTTACGTTCAGCAGTGGCAGCTCTTAAAGTAATAGCAGCCAAATAACCTAACAACCCAACTGCTGTCATGACTGTTAAACAAAGAACAAACGAGAAAAGAGGAAATCAATAACTTTGGGAGCTTTTAGGATTCATCTATATCTAATTTAGAACTTAGTGTTTGATAATAATTTCTGTATATTTCGTACTTGCTGAAGGGCACAGGTAAATATGACATTTATTACAATGGGTTTATGTGAAGATTGTTTTAAGTTTACTTAAATTAGAAGTTATGTTTTAAAGTCTACGTTTTAAAGTACAACATTACGTTTAGTCGGTGGTTAAATATTAGGGGAAAAAAGAACAATTTCCTAGAGACATCAGTAGTATTGGTATCAGTGATAGGCCCTGTCCCAAATGACTCGCCTTCAGTCATAAAAAAAGATGCCATTAAACAAATATTAAAAATATACTGTCTTTATGTTGTTTCTACATTAATTTGAAGATTAAATGTGAAATTATTGCAATATTAAAGTATATTTAAAAACTTTAATGTTAGGTGGGATTAATCTCGAATAATCACGATTGGTTTCAGGAAAATGTGCGATTAATTAGTTAAGTTTTTTAATCAATTGACAGCACTAATTAGTAACTAGTTATATTTAATAGGTCACACTACGTGCAGTGTGAGCACTAAACAAAATCACCAGGTGCTCTCAGACTAAAAAACTTACGTTCACCCCTGCATATATAAATCCTGTGGCAGATTTAGACAGGTGGTGCTGGGGGAGGTGGAGGGTTTCAGAGGAACTCTATAATGTGCTGCAGGGCCAGCTTACAGTGAACTTTGAACCAGACTATTTAAATGTTGAGCAAGCAGCTCACAGACTGCAGAATCAGCAGAGGCCAATCAGCTTGTGCCATGTAGTAAATGAATTGCTGTCAGTGTTCTTATGTCTGCCATTTGAATTGTTGATGCTCTTGCAGGCAACTGGAAGAGCAAAGACAAGGTCAGCCGTTCACAGTCCCAGAGGTCCAGTGGAGTGGACGCTGGCCGTGGGAGTCCTGCAAGGCCACAGAGTGCCAAGACTCACCGCAGCCACTCAGGTGGGTTATGAGGAGCTGACCTTAAACACACTCACAGCAGATGAGAATAACGCAGTTAAAGTTGGCTGTAAATAAACACTGGCTTTTGACCTATTTTAGCTACAAGGCTAACGGTGTTCAAGAGCTGCTAACACTGAGGTGCTGTTCTTGACCTTTGAACTTTAAATACCCTGGCTATGTCCAAGTTGAGGCTCAGCAGGTTACAACCTGTGTGTATATCTTATCCATGCCTGAGCTAATAGAGAAGTCAAAATAGTCAGTGGTAAACAAAGACAGGCTGTTTTTCTGGGCGGCTCCCGAGTTAGCATGTGTGAAATGATCAGTGGTGTTTGCTAAGGTTGCTAAACTGTCTCTTGTTTTTAGGGTTAGTGCTTTGAACAACCCCTTAACAAGAAGTCAACTTCATTGTGACTTAAGCAAATTGAAAAGCAGTCATGAAAGTGTCTCTCTTTAAGTACACTTAGGTGGTCTTTTATTTCAGTTATTTGATATAATCTGCAAATAGTTTTTAAAAGATATAAGATTTTAAGTTGCATTTTAAGATCAAATAAGATTGTATCTGCACTACATGTGCACATTTAATACAGCTAAGTACACTTAAGTTCTTTTTCACAAGGCCCTTTAAAGGAGATGTTTTTAAGTCATTATGTAAGCGTCTGACAGATGCCTCACATGTTTGTCAGTTCACGAGTTGTACGTGATGCAGTTGTGATCGTAACTCACACTTGAATGCTCTTTAACCTTTGAACTCTG